AGGCATAATTTTATGGGGTGGTATTAACCAGACCAGCCAGCCCTTATTCATATCGTCGATAGTAAAACGAGCAAATTTAGTGTCGCACTAAAAGAAAAGACGCTAATGGTGCGTCTGGTAAGTGCTTGCATGCAGTAGCGGTTTGTTCTACATACACGACGATGAGTCGGAGCAAAGTCAAGCACTGCATAACAAGCTAGGACGTTATTCATTGTTTGGACACTAATGCTATGAGTGTACTTGGTGTTCATAATTGGACACCACATTTCACAAAACGTGTAGGTTTACAGATTTTTAGGACTGGTTTATGTTCATCAAATGGGACGAATCAAGCTCCTTAGGGCATGTTCGATGTAGATATTTTTAGCAAATGAAAAAGTGGTACTGACAATATTCTAGCGGTGTCTTATGCGCGAAGCGCCATTCATAACTCCTGCCAGCACACTAGCGAAGCAGCGTGTTTTGTATACCACATGTGATGCCTTTCTATGACTACCAGAGCAATTGGGCATCGTGGTACACACCCCAAACACCCAATACTGCACGAAATTCATCCGCACTAATTATCAATCACAAACAAGGTACAGTACTTCGAGGTATACCAGCGCAAGCATGCCGAGAAAGTCGATAAGTACTACCGGGTAGAACTAATGCAACGTTATCTTAACGAACTCACTTTCGATATGGTGCGCCTATACCATAAGTCAATCGAACATACACGAAGAGAACATCACATTATCTCGGTTATCGTCGACGTCACATCAATGTACTGCCATTTACGCGGCTGGGCACTTGCTGCTGATAAAGATGTCGGCGCAGTTCCAGAAATGTTCTTGGCCCCACGTGCTAGCGCCCCAGTTGTTCCAGCCGGTGTAGTGCCAGCGCAGCACACAATGCGACTCGCCTTCGCAGGTCACGCCGGGAGGTAGGACGTACGTCAAGTCGAAGAAGTCGCCGGGGGTGACATTGTACTTGGCGGCTCCGCTCGGCTGCACCAACGGTTGAAAGCATGCTTCGGTTTCGACATCTTTGGGGTCATTGAGCTTGCAAAGGCCGATCTCAAAGAAGCCCTTGTGGTTGGCAGTGAGCTGGACCTTGAGATTCATGGCGGCCCCGGGCGCGTAGCACGCCCCCGTCACGTTCGCGCCGTACTGGGGAAACCGACCGTAAGTGCCGCCGGTTTCGTGGGCGCGGGGTGAAGCTTGGGTGAACGGGTCCCCGCAAATGCCATATTGGCCGTCCTTGGTGGCGCCCACCCCACCAGCATTGAGGCTGTTGTCGCTCCAGTTGGGGGGGACAAATGGGGCATACTTGGGAAGCTTCCCAATGTAGCCGCGGTGGGGAGGGGTCACCAAGCGACCGTGGCCTTCCACGGCGACGGGGGCAAGGGCGAGGGCGGCAAAGGCAGCGATGGTCTTCATTGGATTGTGGTGGTGGTGCGCAGAGAGCGAATTCAGAAATGAACATGGTGGTGATGCCTCACGGTTTTGTGTCGATACAGAGCTTTGGAGTGAGACCATGACTGCTGGTGAATCAGGTACTGTATGCTCACTCCTTGATAGATCCGTTGACTGATGCAGTGAAGAATATACTGGAAGTCGATTAACGTTACTATAAAGCCGTGTATTCCATTGTAAAAAAGTGTCGACCGGCGGTGCTCCAGTATGTTTTTCATTGGCAGTTTGATGATGATGCAACTCAGAAACTCAGGTATGCGGCATGTCATGCTTTGGACAGTCAACCTGATAATGGAATCAGACGAACGAATGGGCCCAACATGAACAACATACCAAACCCTGCACGGCATGCATACGTACTACATGGCGTTTACAGGAAGTAAGCTGCACCGATACTTTACAATCCCAGCATTTTAATTTCTAGGCGATAACACGTTGCAACTTACTGTAAGTATCTTGTGCGATGCAAAGTGTCCTCTCAAAGTTGATGATTTCCTGTACTCCGTATCACATTCTGTGTCTTTTTGGACACCTCTTGAATACTCTGAACAGTAAAATAGATACTACTATGGTCATTCGGCCCATCCATCAATGGTCGGTCACGTTATCCGTGAAATTTGGCGTCCATATTTAGGGCGGGTCTGGAAACGGTTTAAGGCATAATTTTATGGGGTGGTATTAACCAGACCAGCCAGCCCTTATTCATATCGTCGATAGTAAAACGAGCAAATTTAGTGTCGCACTAAAAGAAAAGACGCTAATGGTGCGTCTGGTAAGTGCTTGCATGCAGTAGCGGTTTGTTCTACATACACGACGATGAGTCGGAGCAAAGTCAAGCACTGCATAACAAGCTAGGACGTTATTCATTGTTTGGACACTAATGCTATGAGTGTACTTGGTGTTCATAATTGGACACCACATTTCACAAAACGTGTAGGTTTACAGATTTTTAGGACTGGTTTATGTTCATCAAATGGGACGAATCAAGCTCCTTAGGGCATGTTCGATGTAGATATTTTTAGCAAATGAAAAAGTGGTACTGACAATATTCTAGCGGTGTCTTATGCGCGAAGCGCCATTCATAACTCCTGCCAGCACACTAGCGAAGCAGCGTGTTTTGTATACCACATGTGATGCCTTTCTATGACTACCAGAGCAATTGGGCATCGTGGTACACACCCCAAACACCCAATACTGCACGAAATTCATCCGCACTAATTATCAATCACAAACAAGGTACAGTACTTCGAGGTATACCAGCGCAAGCATGCCGAGAAAGTCGATAAGTACTACCGGGTAGAACTAATGCAACGTTATCTTAACGAACTCACTTTCGATATGGTGCGCCTATACCATAAGTCAATCGAACATACACGAAGAGAACATCACATTATCTCGGTTATCGTCGACGTCACATCAATGTACTGCCATTTACGCGGCTGGGCACTTGCTGCTGATAAAGATGTCGGCGCAGTTCCAGAAATGTTCTTGGCCCCACGTGCTAGCGCCCCAGTTGTTCCAGCCGGTGTAGTGCCAGCGCAGCACACAATGCGACTCGCCTTCGCAGGTCACGCCGGGAGGTAGGACGTACGTCAAGTCGAAGAAGTCGCCGGGGGTGACATTGTACTTGGCGGCTCCGCTCGGCTGCACCAACGGTTGAAAGCATGCTTCGGTTTCGACATCTTTGGGGTCATTGAGCTTGCAAAGGCCGATCTCAAAGAAGCCCTTGTGGTTGGCAGTGAGCTGGACCTTGAGATTCATGGCGGCCCCGGGCGCGTAGCACGCCCCCGTCACGTTCGCGCCGTACTGGGGAAACCGACCGTAAGTGCCGCCGGTTTCGTGGGCGCGGGGTGAAGCTTGGGTGAACGGGTCCCCGCAAATGCCATATTGGCCGTCCTTGGTGGCGCCCACCCCACCAGCATTGAGGCTGTTGTCGCTCCAGTTGGGGGGGACAAATGGGGCATACTTGGGAAGCTTCCCAATGTAGCCGCGGTGGGGAGGGGTCACCAAGCGACCGTGGCCTTCCACGGCGACGGGGGCAAGGGCGAGGGCGGCAAAGGCAGCGATGGTCTTCATTGGATTGTGGTGGTGGTGCGCAGAGAGCGAATTCAGAAATGAACATGGTGGTGATGCCTCACGGTTTTGTGTCGATACAGAGCTTTGGAGTGAGACCATGACTGCTGGTGAATCAGGTACTGTATGCTCACTCCTTGATAGATCCGTTGACTGATGCAGTGAAGAATATACTGGAAGTCGATTAACGTTACTATAAAGCCGTGTATTCCATTGTAAAAAAGTGTCGACCGGCGGTGCTCCAGTATGTTTTTCATTGGCAGTTTGATGATGATGCAACTCAGAAACTCAGGTATGCGGCATGTCATGCTTTGGACAGTCAACCTGATAATGGAATCAGACGAACGAATGGGCCCAACATGAACAACATACCAAACCCTGCACGGCATGCATACGTACTACATGGCGTTTACAGGAAGTAAGCTGCACCGATACTTTACAATCCCAGCATTTTAATTTCTAGGCGATAACACGTTGCAACTTACTGTAAGTATCTTGTGCGATGCAAAGTGTCCTCTCAAAGTTGATGATTTCCTGTACTCCGTATCACATTCTGTGTCTTTTTGGACACCTCTTGAATACTCTGAACAGTAAAATAGATACTACTATGGTCATTCGGCCCATCCATCAATGGTCGGTCACGTTATCCGTGAAATTTGGCGTCCATATTTAGGGCGGGTCTGGAAACGGTTTAAGGCATAATTTTATGGGGTGGTATTAACCAGACCAGCCAGCCCTTATTCATATCGTCGATAGTAAAACGAGCAAATTTAGTGTCGCACTAAAAGAAAAGACGCTAATGGTGCGTCTGGTAAGTGCTTGCATGCAGTAGCGGTTTGTTCTACATACACGACGATGAGTCGGAGCAAAGTCAAGCACTGCATAACAAGCTAGGACGTTATTCATTGTTTGGACACTAATGCTATGAGTGTACTTGGTGTTCATAATTGGACACCACATTTCACAAAACGTGTAGGTTTACAGATTTTTAGGACTGGTTTATGTTCATCAAATGGGACGAATCAAGCTCCTTAGGGCATGTTCGATGTAGATATTTTTAGCAAATGAAAAAGTGGTACTGACAATATTCTAGCGGTGTCTTATGCGCGAAGCGCCATTCATAACTCCTGCCAGCACACTAGCGAAGCAGCGTGTTTTGTATACCACATGTGATGCCTTTCTATGACTACCAGAGCAATTGGGCATCGTGGTACACACCCCAAACACCCAATACTGCACGAAATTCATCCGCACTAATTATCAATCACAAACAAGGTACAGTACTTCGAGGTATACCAGCGCAAGCATGCCGAGAAAGTCGATAAGTACTACCGGGTAGAACTAATGCAACGTTATCTTAACGAACTCACTTTCGATATGGTGCGCCTATACCATAAGTCAATCGAACATACACGAAGAGAACATCACATTATCTCGGTTATCGTCGACGTCACATCAATGTACTGCCATTTACGCGGCTGGGCACTTGCTGCTGATAAAGATGTCGGCGCAGTTCCAGAAATGTTCTTGGCCCCACGTGCTAGCGCCCCAGTTGTTCCAGCCGGTGTAGTGCCAGCGCAGCACACAATGCGACTCGCCTTCGCAGGTCACGCCGGGAGGTAGGACGTACGTCAAGTCGAAGAAGTCGCCGGGGGTGACATTGTACTTGGCGGCTCCGCTCGGCTGCACCAACGGTTGAAAGCATGCTTCGGTTTCGACATCTTTGGGGTCATTGAGCTTGCAAAGGCCGATCTCAAAGAAGCCCTTGTGGTTGGCAGTGAGCTGGACCTTGAGATTCATGGCGGCCCCGGGCGCGTAGCACGCCCCCGTCACGTTCGCGCCGTACTGGGGAAACCGACCGTAAGTGCCGCCGGTTTCGTGGGCGCGGGGTGAAGCTTGGGTGAACGGGTCCCCGCAAATGCCATATTGGCCGTCCTTGGTGGCGCCCACCCCACCAGCATTGAGGCTGTTGTCGCTCCAGTTGGGGGGGACAAATGGGGCATACTTGGGAAGCTTCCCAATGTAGCCGCGGTGGGGAGGGGTCACCAAGCGACCGTGGCCTTCCACGGCGACGGGGGCAAGGGCGAGGGCGGCAAAGGCAGCGATGGTCTTCATTGGATTGTGGTGGTGGTGCGCAGAGAGCGAATTCAGAAATGAACATGGTGGTGATGCCTCACGGTTTTGTGTCGATACAGAGCTTTGGAGTGAGACCATGACTGCTGGTGAATCAGGTACTGTATGCTCACTCCTTGATAGATCCGTTGACTGATGCAGTGAAGAATATACTGGAAGTCGATTAACGTTACTATAAAGCCGTGTATTCCATTGTAAAAAAGTGTCGACCGGCGGTGCTCCAGTATGTTTTTCATTGGCAGTTTGATGATGATGCAACTCAGAAACTCAGGTATGCGGCATGTCATGCTTTGGACAGTCAACCTGATAATGGAATCAGACGAACGAATGGGCCCAACATGAACAACATACCAAACCCTGCACGGCATGCATACGTACTACATGGCGTTTACAGGAAGTAAGCTGCACCGATACTTTACAATCCCAGCATTTTAATTTCTAGGCGATAACACGTTGCAACTTACTGTAAGTATCTTGTGCGATGCAAAGTGTCCTCTCAAAGTTGATGATTTCCTGTACTCCGTATCACATTCTGTGTCTTTTTGGACACCTCTTGAATACTCTGAACAGTAAAATAGATACTACTATGGTCATTCGGCCCATCCATCAATGGTCCGAATGACCATAGTAGTATGAGAGGGCCACTGAGGATGGACTACCTCTTTGGTGAATTGTGGACGAAGTCGAGGTAGTGGTACTCCATCTGTCTGGCGATGAGTTCCTTGGCCAGGCGGCGGCGGATGAGCCATCGACGTCTTAGGAAGGCAATCACGATGGCCTTTCTCATTCCGAAATGCTCTCAATTTAACGCGCACTGTCAATATCGTCAAAATATTCTACTCATGAGTAGAAAATTATTTCTTGTGGTTTTCACGATATTTCTGATAAAATTATGGAATATAACTTGGTCAAGAAATCCAGACACCCCAAATTGAAGTCGCTGAGATTCTTGAATATTTTGCAAAATTATCGCAATATTTCTCAATATCCAGACGGGCCTAAACGATTTCTAAACACGTTGCAACTTTAACGCTAGCATCTTGTGAGATGCAAAGTGTCAGAAGTTACCAGAACAATTTCCTCTCAAAAGTTGACTATTTACTGTACATTCTGTGTCTTTTTGGGCACCTCTTGACTGTGAATACTCTGAACTGTACAGTGTTTGCCAGAAAAACTCGACGAAAGTAACACTCGTGAATAAAATAAATTTTTCGAAACTTGAGGATTGTAACAATCGATCCAATTGGATAAAATTGACTGCATTAATTAAAGATTGTGCTCAGCTGTGATTGGCTCAATTCAATTTGAAATTTGAAACTTGGACGTCCAATGTCAAAATGGCATTTGACGAACGGCAGCGCCAGCCACCATGCAGCAGCGGCGTTACACGAACTCTGAGCGCAAGGTGCTCCTTATGAAGTTTCATGCGTCCGTCCTCAACGACAACCAGTTTAGCCAACAGCACGCCATCCCTCGAGGTACGTGGAAAGGATGGCGAGCGAAAGAAGCGAAGATTCTGGCCAGCCGCTGCCATGGCCACTTAGCAACACTGGGCGGCCAGGGGCGGAAGTCATTGTTTCCTTTCAAGGACGACCTCCTGGGGTATATGCGTGACCGACGTACCAAAGAGAAGTATCTCCGGGTGTTCCACCTCATCCTGTGGATCAAACGCAACCACCGACCATGGCTTCTTCAGTACATCGAGTCCAAGGCTACGAGTCCCTCGGACACCTTCTCCGCAGTTTTTGTAAGCGACACCGATTCTCCCACCGCGTTCCATGCTACAACAAGGTCCGCCAGGTTGTTCTCGACGACGTGTGGGCTGGGTATGTCGTGAACTTCTGGACCTAGTACGAGACCTACGACAAGTCACACATCTACAATGCGGACGAAACAGGTGCGATTATCTAAAGTCATCTCTCCATTGAGAACGTATGCAGTATGAGTCTACTTTGACATGCCGCCAGGCAAGACGCTGGTCGAGGTTCGAAAGTCGTCCAAGGTGGACAAGAAGAACAAGCACTCAGAGCGCATTTCCGTGGTGTTGACAGTCAGGGCCGATGGCTTCAAGCTTCCACTGCTGTTCATCATCAAAGGGCAGCCAGGTGGTCTGTTGGAGAAGACGGAACTGTCGTCCTACGACCCGACTCATGTCTATGCTGTGCAGGCAAACGCTTGGATGGATGAACGTGTGTGGAACATCTACCTCGAGCGTTTGTTTGCACAGCATGTCCAAGATGCCTCCGTTCTTCTGGTGGACAATCTGGAATGCCACGTTTCCGAGGGTTCCTACGACAAGACGGCAGAGGCAATGTTCAGCGTGATCGAGCCGCTCCCCCAAAACTCAACGAGCAGGTGTCAGCCGCTCGATGTCGGTGTTATGGGCCCGTTCAAGGCTATGCTGAAGACGTAGTGGTTGCTTGAGGACACAGACAGCGCTGATGAGAACATGACGGCTGAACAAGTGTTAATGTTTGTAGTAATTTGAATTTTGAAGAAAAAAGTTCGACGCGCCCGGGAATTGAACCCGGGGCTCACTCAAGTCACACAACGAGTGTTACCACTGCGCTATCGCGTCGAACGCTTACCTTGAACTTTTGTATTAGTTTAATTGGCTTATTTTAGGCCAATCAAAGAAGTCGACCTCAGATTCGTCGTGACATGATCTTTATATTTTTCAGTCGTCCGCGTCGACGAGTTGTACCACTCTACATACAAAGTCCCATATTGAAGGCAGTGCTACTTGCGTCGAGTTTTTCTGGAAAACACTGTACTCCGGAGTACAAGTACTATTAATACGTAGTAAATCTATCTCTTACTGTACGTAGAATGTTTACAATATCTGTTCATAAAGGTACTGTGAGTATTATATTGTATCTAAACCTTAGAGCACCTGCACCGGCCCAGTAAATTTGACCCCATTATCCGGATAACTTGTTCGGATACGCGAGTTACTGGCTCCATTAACACTAAGGGCAAATTTTACTGGCCTCGTTTTGGTTTCGCACCGCAGTCAGTAAAGCAGATTGATTGCACTTGCTTCGTAATGGATTCGGCTGCATGGGACTCCGAGAGCAAAAGTAGTGGCGATGTTGACGTTGTCATCGCCATAGTGCTGCGTGGGTTAGTCGTCGCAGCGCAGAAGAAGGAAGTATGTAACAGAGGCTCCAACAAGGTCAAACGGCCAAACATTGACCGCAAGCGTGCTCAGTACAACCTACTGCTGCGTGCAGACTACTTTGATTCCGTGCCTACGTACGACGACAGCCACTTCCGACGGCGCTTTCGAATGCGGAATAGTCTCTTCCTGCAAATTGCGAACGATCTGCCACACCAGGACCCTTATTTTCAACAGAGAAACCCGATGTCACAGGTGTATATAATATATAACCAGCAGATATTCATATAAAATTGGTGATATAGCGCGCCAAGGTATTTCAACTTTGCAAAAGGTTGCTGCATGCGTCCGATACCTAGCGACAGGTTGCTCGATAGACGACCTGGACGACAGGTATTTTAGATATTTAGCTACAAATATAATTACACAAATTCAAAAGTAATAGAACTTGAATTCACAGTCAACCGTTTGTTAGATATAGAATTGGAGAGAGCACCATGCGTCAAGCCGTGAGCCAATTCTTCTCGGGAATTCAGTCGATTTATAAGGGCAGCAGCCTACGCGAGCCTAATGAATCAGACTGCCAAAGGCTATTGCGCGACGCTCAACGTGTTGGTTGGCCTGGAATGCTGGGGTCTCTCGACTGCTCTCATTACGCAGGAAAAATTGTCCGAAGGCGTGGGCTAGGCAATTTCAAGGTGCCAAAGGCCGACCGCCAGTAATATTGGAGGCTATGTCCGACATGCGAGGACGCATTTAGCATGCGTACTTTGGCATGCCTGGAGCAAACAACGATATCAACGTCTTGGTCAGTTCAAACGTATTTCATGCTTCGATTGGAGGTGCAATAATAAATTTTTCAAGTTAATGATAAAATATTTAAACTAGGCAATAATAGGATGGCGTCCTCAAGTGCGATACAACATAAATGGAAACACCTACAAGGGCACCAAATTGGCTCGTGGATGGAATGCACCCTCCATACTCTGTCTTTGTAAAAACGATACCCAATGCGATGTCGCTCCGGGAGAAAGCATTCCAGAAAGCCCAGGAGTCACACCGCAAGGACGTTGAACGCATGTTTGGCATGCTGCAGGCTCGTTGGCACGTGCTAACACGACCATGTGAGTTGTGGGATAGTTCTGCTATGCATCACGTCGTGATAACGTGCTGTGTATTACACAACATGGTCATTGATGACGAAATGGAAAAACGACGACAGTTGTGATCTTAAATTTTGAAATGACCTCCAACCCGACGATCCTTTTGTGGCGACTGGCGGGATCGAACATGCGACATTGCAGAGTCGCATTCGCGCGTTTGTCAAGCTTACGGACGGTGTATCTCATACGAAGCTCCTCCACAATTTAGTTGAACACCGCTGGAATTTGTTCGGTGATCTTTCGTACGAATAAAATAAGAAGAAATGAATTTTGAATGAATTTTTGATTACACAGTAGCAAACATTCGGATGAGCAGTAGTAGTACAGGAAACGACGGGATGCAAGGCCTACCGAAGATTTATTGGTGTAATGGTGGACAACATCCAATCATATTTGAATGAATAGATACAATTTGATGATTGGCGGAATTAAAATACTTCCCGCCAGTTTCAATACAAAACAAATTCTCCACGACAAGCACAATTAAAAATGAGACGACGGGGGTATCCAATATCAACGAAGCTCCGAGCGTGGGGAATGCTGGAAACCATGTCCGACTACAAGGTGTCCGCAGCACTGGACGTTCCGCGACGTACGTTGCGCAATTGGATGTCCCAAAGACACGAGAACTTAAAAATATGAAGCTTGAGCCTGGTGGAAGATACGAGGTCTTTCCAAACCCGCCAGGACTCATCGAGTTCATAAACTATGTCCGTGACAACGAGCGCGCCCTCACGACTACGCATCTCATCCTGTGGATCAAGGCCAACCAGCGTGAGTGGTTGAACAACTACCTCGCCACCAAGCAACAGTCGACGTCATATGACTCTCTCCTCCGCCTGCTCTAGCGCTTCTGCGATCGTCACGGCTTCTCCCGTCAGCGTCCCACCAAGAACAAGGTCAAGCAAGCCGATCTTGCGGAGGTGCAGAGCGACTTCGCCGCGGAGTTCCACCGCGAGTACATTGCGTATGGCAAGGAGTGCGTGTACAATGTTGATGAAACTGGCATCTTTTATGACATGCCGCCGCGCTACATTTGGGCGGTGCGAGGCGGAGGCTCCAAAATCTCGAGGGGGGAGAAGCATTCGCTTCGCATGACGGCGGTCCTCACGGTACGAGCTGATGGCACCAAGCTGCCCATCCTCTTCATCATGAACGAGGTGCCTGGCGGTCGCACCGACAGCGGCGAGCTCAGCACGTTCCCTCCCGGCCATCTCTACGCGGTTCAGGAGCTTGCCTGGATTGACAAGCGTGTATGGGCCACGTACCTTCGGGATGTCCTCGGCGAAGCGATCGAGGAGCCGTCAGTCGTGCTGCTGGACAATTTCGAGTCACATGTGTCGGGTGAGTCGTACAACATCATGTACGCGGAGATAGGTGCCCACCTGTGTGCGTTGCCACCGAACGCGACGTCCGTGTGTCAAACCCCTTGACGTTGGGGTGATGGCGCCGTTTAAGCGCAACCTTCGTAACTTGTGGCTGCTCGAAGACATCATTGTTGGTGATGATGATGACCCATTTTCGCCTACCTCGCGACAAAAGCGCATGGCATTGGTGAAGCGCTCGATTGCAGCATGGGGCCTTGTGTCGAGCCAAGAGATTCGCCGCAGTTTCGAGAAAGCTCTCCGTCACTGAAGGATGTCCAATAATTTTAGCGTTAATTAAATTTCCACTGAAATTATTTAAGTTATCTTCATTCTTGTAACAGGATTTAGATTAATGTACACTGCCCGGGAATTGAACCCGGGCCCCTTCCTCTATCTCTTTGATGCCGTCGCCCTTAACCATTAAGCTACCGCGCCAAACGCTTACGCACGCTTGGACTGGAATCATCCATCCATTCATATATTTTGTGTAGGACACCTTCGTAAACCGATTACCTGGTTCTTTACATCCTATATTGTTGTCGTTTGCAGCCATATCGGTGGGAAATCATACTACACAATATAATTACCTGTAATAAAATTAATTGACGTCAGTCAGCGTGAATAAAAATTTCAAAATTGCGCACTGATTGGCTCAAAACGAAACGTAACTCGAAGTTTGCAATCCATTCAAATGATCCAAATCACGTAGGACTCGAAGACAAAGTAGGCCTTGCATTCCGTCGTTCCCTGTACCGTCCTTCGGGGCAATTAATCTCGCTGCTGCATACGTGATGGACAACGCCACAACGGTTGAGCCCTTGACATGGAAGCATCCATACCACGACAGTCACGGAAAGAACCGTTTGCATTCAATACATAATCTTATAATGCAGTATGTATGAAAAATTTGCACCTGGATTTGTGGAGAGACCAAGGACGACTGTGCGTGTTCCTCCACCAATGTCCCATTCTCCATGGCGTCCTAACACCATTTGGTCACAACATATAGCGACATGTAACTGACGTACAAGACGACGTGGGCGCTTGCTGCCCAATTCGATCATTGCGTTTTCCGCGCGGCGCACATCCGCTTGAGCTCGCATCAATGCCTCTTTACGTTTGAGCGAAAAAAACAGTTTCGCATCCGAATTGGAACTGTAAACAGTGTCGCATCCAAAGCGCGTTGGGCGATTGCATTTTTGGCTACCATTGCAGCAACAAGATCCGCATGCATCTTAGCAGTATTTATAACATCTCATTCGATATAAAATAAATATCATACAAATATAATAATATAGATATATATTACCCAGTTGCGCAAGTTTTGCCCGTTTTGACCCAATTGGTCGCTTCTCCTGCGCAAGTGCGATTGCACTTGGTGCTGTTAAAACACTCGATGGTACCGCGGCCATCCCAGGCCCATCACTAGCAACATTGGATGCACGCTGCCATTTCGGCTGGTCCTTGAGGATTTCCCAGCAATGAACCAATTTAAATGGTGTTTGCTTCTTGTTCCACTTTTGGGCTTTGAAATACTCATCCGCGTCGGCCATGTACTGCTCGGTGTTGTATCCAGAGCGAACGATCGATGTCGATAGTTTGAGCGCCGACGCGAATGCAGCAACTTGTTTGTTGATTGTATCTCTCCAGTGAATATAATGACCATCACCAGTTCTATAGTATTGCAATTGTTACACTTGCCTTCATGTACCAGTAGCAAATTAGCTTATCATGCACTATACCTCTGTGTGCATTCAGGACTACTGTTGTAGGCTGCAGCTACTCGGGTGTAGAAATGACTTGCAGTTTGATGTTTCCGACGATAGGATCGAGGGAGGCAATCAGCCATGCGTGACACAGCTGCACCTTCTCATGTGGGGTTAAGTTCCGGAAGAGTTCCTTCATTCCTTGTTTTGCTTGGAAAGGGAAACAAAGCCACGAATCGATGGAGTCGTAGATGAATATGATTGGTCAGTTGACTTACTGGAGTACAGTACTCCAACAAAAATTCCAACAAATTTACTGGAATATTTTTTGGAGTAGTGGAGTCCAGTAACATTTTTACTGGCTATTGGTACCGGTGCGAACGATTTTTTTGGAATTCCAGTAAATCGCCCAATAAAATTATCGGGATCTGAGAACTGCTGGTACCGGTGCAGATGCTCTTAGTATGTGGCTAATTCTACTAACGTGATCGACCATTGATCGGCCAAATGACCATCGACCGGCCAAGGTGTTTCGTCCAATTGAAATTAATACGATATTTCATTGGACAAAATAAATCCTTGTGATAAGTTTTACCTTTATAATGTGATGAAGGCAAAAAATTCAATTTTAAAGAGGTTTTCAGCTTTGAATTTGAAATGACGCCAAGAACGTCCTACACGCAGGAGGCGATGGACGTGGCTGTCCGAGCTGTGCTCAACAAGACACACAATCTTTTGACCGCTGCCGAGGCACATGGTATACCCCAACGTACACTACGCACCCATGTCGCCAAGGCAATCACGGGCGACAACCGACCGACGGCGATGGGCAGGCCGCCTGTCCTGCCGAAGGAGTTCGAAGACGACTTGGCTACTTGGATTGTCGCAATGGAACACGAAGGGGTACCCGTTGGCTGTCGTCAGATCGTCGACAAGGCAACCGAGATACTTCAAGTGGTACATGATGCACCACGTGACACCAAGCTTACGAGCGGTTGGTACAAAAGATTCCTCGAACGCAATCAAGATCTTAAGATTGCGAAAGCACGAACTCTGAGTAAACCGCGAAACGGTGTCGACAACGATACCGTGGTGGAGTTCTTTCACCAGCTTGCTCATTCCATGTCACTTGTTGACATGGATCCATCACGGGTCTTCAACATGGACGAGACAAGTTTTTCGCCGTCCAAGACGTCAAGGAAGGTGGTTGTCCAGCGCACGACCAAGAATGTTTACGTTCAAGAAGCGACAACCTCAGCCCACGTCACGATTGTCGCATATGTCGCTGCCAACGGGACCAAGATTTCACCGTTGTTCGTTG